ATTCAGTAGCTGTTTCCGCTCTGGGGAATACACGTGCTGTTCATTGTTGTAGTGAACACAGCAGCAGCAGCAAGTGCGATGCTGGGCACCCCCCGCGCCGACACCGACACCTGAAGCCTCTGTATCGTTCCCAACAGAAACCCTGCGTCCGTCTCCCTGCGCTGTACGCCCGGGAGTCTCTCCTATGCTGCTGTGTGCGGCGCTCTGGGCCCTCCGAGCCGGGGCCACACTGGCCGGCTTCTGGCGCTCGGCAGCAGCTTGTCACCGTCTGGGCCTCATTCCCTGTCCAGGCCAATGCTGTCCCCGCGTCTGGGCTCTGCGCACCGTGTGTCCATTCGTCCGGGGTGTACCACAGGCCACGGTGCCCGGGGGCTCCTGCTTCGCTGCTTCTGCACCTGGGCCTCTGGGAATTCGGATTCTGACCTTTGCCCGGCAAACCTGCTAAGCCCTTACTAATCTCCGTACTTGGGGTCGATTTTCAGATTCTAGTAGACGTGGTATCATCTGCTGATAAACACACTAAGGGTTTTCCATTATAATCTCAGGTGTGCCTCTTCGTCCCCGTGTGGCCCCTGGGCAGCGCGAGCAGGGAGTGCTGGGGGAGCCCCGAGGGTGGGCCTCTTGGCTCCTGTGCTCGGAGGGGACACAGATACCCGGGACCCCAGGCTGCAGTGCTGTCCCAGGTTCTGGTAGATGTTCTCTACCGGGTTTAGACAATTCTAGGATGGTGCATTTTGGGACATAGTTTCACAACATGTAAGATGATAATATGGGGGGGGCGCCTGGGTGGCTCAGCGGTAGAGCGTCTGCCTTCAGCTCGGGCCGGGATCCTAGGATCGAGTCCCACATTGGGCTCCCCGCAGGGAGCCTGCTTCTCCCTCTGCCTCTCTGTGTGTATCTCATGAATAAATATCTCTTTAAAAACATAAAAGATGATAATATGCCCCTCCCCCAACCTGTTGATGTGACACATCAGTTTTGAGCCTGACTTGCCTTCCTGACAGAACCTCTGGCCCCACTCCACCATCCCTTCCTGCCGTGTTGGAGGCAGTTTCCAGCTCCGGGCTTGAGCCCCTGTGGCTGTGAGCACACACTCCCGGCTGTCCCAGCTCATAAAGTAAGGGGAGGTGTCTCCGCTTTTCAATCTCTGAGCCCAAAGGAGACTGGAATAGGTGCCTGAACTCACTTGTGCGCCATCTGGACTCGCATCCTTGGTGGCGGGGTGGGGGGGGCTATAAGCTCCGGACACTCGTGTGCAGCGCTTACGGATCTTTGGGCCGCTGGCTCTCGGGTGGCCTCCACAGCTCATCTGTACTCACGTTCCCTGGCACGGAGTTTTCTCTTTTCTGATCTCTGACGCCCCTGCTGTCACTTCTCAGCATTTGCAGTGGCGCGTTTGCTCCCGTGGCCTCCTGGCCCCACGCCGGACTGCCGGCCAGGACGGGGCCTCCCGTTTCCTTCCCACGACAGCCTCCGACACACTGGTTTTGCTACTCTGTCACTCTGCATTTATTCCGCTGTGTTTTTTTATAACTTCTCAAGCCGGAGGCTCAGCTTCTGGTCTCTAGCTGCTCTGCTGACGAGGCCTGAGTGCTTAGGGCTACATGTCCCCACGTGGCTTTAACGGCTCCTGGGGAAGCTCTGGCCAATCCTGTTTCAGTGTCAGCAAGGTCTCAGTATTTTAGAGCCTTTGCTATGTCTTTTCGTTTGAGTCTCATTATTGGGAGGGTTTTCCTTTTCCTAGGATAGGAGCTTCATTTGAACTGAGAAACCCTCAAAACAGGTTCACGGGAAAGATCTGGCTTCGGTGTGTGGTGGGGATGCAGTGGCAGGGAGCGCAGGAGATGGCCCCTGCCTTGCCAGAGCCGTGCCAAGGCAAACAAGACCACCAACTGATCTGAGTTTGATTTCGTGATTTTTCTCATAACTGTAAGACTTCCAAGTCTCATTTTAAAAGAAGTATTTTCCCATTGCTCTTTTCCTGCTGATGCAGGTGAAGTCAACTGTGGTCTTCCTGGAGGAGGCGCCAAGCACTGTCGGCGGGCATGGCTACCTCCCACGCCTCGCTAAGAACATGAACACCCGGCAAGAAGCCCCACGCCCAGTGTGGGACTTGAACTCACAACCCGGAGATCAAGAGTCGCAGTTCCACCCACAGAGCCCGCCGGGCGCCCCCAGAGCCACCATCCTTAAAACAGTTGGGGTGAAGCAGCAGTGCCCTGAGGACTTCACGTGAGTCACCGAGTCAGGTTAAGCACCGTCAGCATCCCACATCACACCTGCGGAAACTGAGGCAGCACGAGGTTAAGAAAGGCCCCAGGTCCCATGTGGGCAAGGTTACTAACCCCTGTGCTCTTCACCACCCACCTCCTCTCCAGAGAGCAAAGCCATATTGGGTGGGAGTCTATTTCTTTGTCTCCTAACCAACTGGCACGGACGAAAACGCACCTGCCTGCCGCTGGAGAGGAGGGCAAGCCCGCCGTCTGTGCGCTTGCTGCCGGGGCGCCGACCGCCACAGCCCGGAGGAGGATGCCGGCCAGGCTCATCTCCACCGTCGTTCCGTGTCTGGAGACCCATCCTGCTGCCCTGAATACAGAAAAGGTATTTATCTCCGCACTATTTGTAACGCCCTGAACCAGAGAGAGCCCACGTGCCACCCGTAGGAGACCTTTCTCTTGGGTTCACCGTGAGGCCGTGGTGCCCAGGAAGCTGGCGGCCAGGAACGTGCTGCAACACGTGACCCATGTCACACTGCACACACGTCCTGGGATGGGCTAAGGCAAAGCGGACGTCCCTGGGCCCGGACGCCCACCCAGGGTGAGCGTCCCCACCCTGTCCTCCGGCACCCTGGGATGAGCACCCAGCCCCCACAGCCCCCCCCCATCTCCTTCCGCGGGCCTCCAGCACAGCCCGGGGGAGGGGACCTCTGACCCTCACGCGCCCTTCACCTAGAGCGGCCCCCTCTGGCCACCGCCCGTCTCTGTGAATGAATCTTTTCTGGCACACGGCCACACTCGCTCACTTCTGTGTCATCCGGGACTGTGGCCCCAGGTCACAGCAGAGAGGAGTGGTGACAGGTGTCAGGGCCACGGAGCCGACAAGTTGCCACCTGGGCCTTTACAGAAAGCGTCTGCCAACCGTGCTCTGGACGCAGGAGCCGCTGACACCCAAGCAGTGTGCTTCCTCGCACCCGGTGCTCGTACACGTCTCCTCACTGTCTCTGCCGAACGTCTGAGAGTAAATTGCAGACCTCGTGCCCCTGTGTCCCTGGAAAGCTTAGTGTGCGTCTCTGACAACCAGGATGAGGCCCAGGATGACCATAGGCCACAAGCCAAGCATGGAGCGCGGAGACAGATGCAGCCCTGCCACCCAGTGGACAGCGTGGACATAAGGTTTGCCAAAGGTCTCAGGAATGTCCCTGACAGCTACGCTCCCATCCGGGGTCACACACTGTGGCCCTCACCCCCCGGGATCTCCTGCCCCACCTGGGGCGATATGAGTCGGGTATGGGAGGGGGGCCTGCTGTGCCCGGGGGCTGGGGGACAGGGGTGCCCAGCTCAGGTGTCATACAGCACAGCTTTTAGAAAGAACAGGAGTGGGCAGCCTGGGTGGCTCAGCGGTTGAGGGTCTGCCTTCAGCTCAGGGCATGATCCCGGGTGCCGGGATCAAGTTCAGCATCGGGATCCCTGCAAGGAGCCTGCTTCTCCCTCTGCCTGTGGCTCCTCTCTGTGTCTCTCATGAGAAAATAAGTAAATTCTTAAAAAAAAAAAAAAAAAGAACAGGAGCAAACACCTACCAACCTGGAGAAGGATTTCTGCCGGGAGCATCTGCCCTTTGGTGTCTGTGACCTGATGGAGAAACATCTCTCTCAATTCGGGACCTTCCTGCAGGACATATTACCCAAAGACCAAGGCCATTTGGGGGCTCCAAACAGCTGAAAGTGCATCATTTTCCTAGTAAAAGCCCTGTTGCCTCCTAAGTGACTGTCACCTCACCCTCCTCGCACTGTTGGAAACTCTGGGACCCCCGGCAGCTCTCTGTAGAGCGAGGAGCCCCATTTGGATCACTCCCGGAGGGCAGCCTAGGGTGGGCACAGGGTGGGGACTCGCCCGGGGGAGGAGATGGGGCCTGGGGACCAGGTGTGAAGACATGAAACTGACCTGGAAGCTGACCCCTGGGGGGCAGGGCGCACTGGCTCCTGTCTGGACACCCCCGTGGCAGACGCAGGCTGGCCCGAGCTGCCCTCACATCCTTGGGGCCCCCACATGTTCAGGGCAGGAATTGCCTGTGATGGCAGCCCGTAGATCCTGGGCGATCCACATGGCGCGTCAGGCCTCTCACCGTGACAGGGGCTGGGCTGGGCGGAGGCAGGAGGGGCCAGTTCCCAGGGACACGGGATGAGGGCAGGGGTTCCAGGGCTGGTGCTGCACGGCTGGAGGGGGGAAGCCGGGGCACAAACTGCAGGACTGTCACCACGGCCAGCCTCGCAGGGAGAGCAGGTGGGTGGCGCGGCACCGGGGCACCGACCGCGGAACACCGCTGTCTAGCTCAGCGCCGCAGGCTCCTGCCTGGTGCACAGGGATGGGCTCGGGGCCCGGCAGATCCACAGTCTGCAGACTGGAGTCCCCCAAGGAGCCGGTGAGAGGGCGGAAAGCAGAGCGGACGCCATGGGCAGAGGCTGCAGGTGTTGGGCCGCTCCCCGGAAGCCACGGCCTCCGAGCCCAGACAGCTGGGGATACCCTGTCTCTGGTGCCGCAGCCACAGATGCCTCCCGCGTTATCACGGGGTCTTGATCCAGGGCCGCTCCACACCGGAGAGGTCTGTACCACGCTCGGGCACTTGCTTACTGTGCGGGCTGACTTTCCTGATGACGGCAGGGCGGTGCGCAGGTGCACGGGGCCCAGCGCACCCGGCACCCATCGGGCGCTCAGGAGGGACGGTGGGTGCGCGGCCCCCACGGGCCCCATCGGCACAGGCCGCAGCTCGGCAGCTTCCCACACTCAGTGCTTCTTCCGCGGGTGATGCTTCTGATGGCGGATGAGGCAGGAGCTGTAGGCAAAGGTCTTCCCGCATTCCTGGCACTCGTACGGCTTCTCCCCGGTGTGCGTCTTCCGATGTTTCAGGAGGTTGGAGCCGCAGTTGAAGGCCTTCCCGCATTCGCTGCATTTGAAGGGCTTCTCTCCAGTGTGGATTCTGTGGTGCTTGGTGACATCGGAGCTGTGCCGGAACGTCTTCCCGCACGCGTCGCACGGGAAGGGCTTCTCTCCCGTGTGTACCCGCTGGTGGCGGAGGTGGTCTGTCTTGTGCTTAAAGATGCGGCCGCACTCCCCGCACTCGTAGGGCTTTTTTCTCTGGAAAGGAGTGAACACAGGGACCCCCTCAAAGTCATCTTTAAACGAAGCATCGAAGGCATCAAATAAGTGTTCTTCATCCTCGGGGCTCAGGCTGGCTTCCTTGCTGTGCTTCCTCGCCACAGACGACCTCCTGGGCTTTTTCCCCCCGGACATGTTCTCTTCTTTGGGAGTGTCCTTCAGCACCTCTACTTCTTCCTTTGGGGTCTGTGCCTTCTTTTTGCCCGTGGGCTTCTCCATCTTTCTCTGTTCCCAGCAGAGAGGAAGGACCACCGGAAGCCAGTAAGGGCTAGGGAGAAAGGCCAGGGCCCGGACTCCCCACTTCTTCGGAAAGCTCTCCCTTTAGACACAGCTCTTCGTTTTCCCGAGCTTGTAACAAGAGCTCTGGAGCAGAAAGCTTGCACCAGAGAGGGGACGCCACCAATCCTTGTGCTGCCGGAGAAGCCAGACCATGAAGGTTAGATCACAGGCGTGTGTGGGGAGGACACAGCTGTGGGCTCCTGCGGTACGGAGGAGCTCAGGGATGGACGACGGGGTGCCATCGGGGACCTCGGCCCCTTCCCTGTCCGTGTGTTCCCTTGGACATGAGCCTTTCACACTGGACGTGACCAAACAGAACACTCGCCCTAACCCTCTCCTGGGGGACAGGGTCTCCATGCCTGTGTCCAGGGGACCAACAACTCTGTGTGGTCTCCACATTGGAGGTTTCCCCTCATTTCCCCCTCCTCCTCTACTTCGTGTATTTGGGACCAGATGATGTGCTTCTGGAGCTACAGGCTGCAGGACACACCTGCATCCCCCCTTTGGGAGCTGCCCTCCTGTCACTTAGAGCCTGGAGTCTGAGATGGACCAAACTTGGGGCTGGCTCCCTAGGGGCGCCCCTGCCCTCCTCCCATGGCCCGTCTGCGTACAGCGGCCACAGACCCCCACCACATACCTGCCCTGGTCCCCAGGGGCCTCCCTCGTACTGAAGAGCCCTATACCCTGACCTGGCCTGCCCTCTGGGGCCGCCCCCGCCTCCCCCCACCCCGGGGTGCCCAATTCCGCTACAAATTCAAGTGAGATCCAGCAGCCCCCCCGGGGGTTGGCAGGAGCATCACCCGCCCGGCTCCTATTTCCTTGGTTGGGATCCCTCGTCTGTTTTGTTTCTGCATCATCCCTGAGCTCCTGAGCTGCGTCTTCTCCGTGCTAATGGAACCCCAGCATGGCCTCCGCACACTTCACTCTCCACGTGCTCGTGGAAGGCATCTCCAGGAGGCTGAGAAAAAGCCTTTTTTTTTTTTTTTTTAAAAGCTCCAAAGGCCGGTCCTGTTCTGATCCTCCCAACATTCCTTGCAAACAGGGTTCTCAGCAAGGGCACCGTGGCCTGTGTGATGCGATGCCCTAGGTCATAACACTCCCGGTGATGTAGATTCACCTTTTTAATCTGCGTCTATCCAACTGCTGTGCGTGAAAACACCATTGCTTTTTTTTTTTTTAAGTAAGCTCTACGGCCAACATAGGGCTCGACCTCAAGACTCTGAGGTCAAGAGTCACAGGCTCCACGGACTGAGCCGGCCCGGCGCCCCCTAGTGATGTTTTAAGGAATAGATGCTTTGACTCGTCAAAGCCACCGGGGAGGGGCCTGGGCTTCCCTGGTCTCCCGCAGGCAGAGGCAGGGAGCCCAGGACGTCGGGACAGGGGGGTGGGAGGCTGGCCTCGGGCCACGTCGCCCGCGGGCCCTGCTGCAGGCCGGCTCCGGGAGGCTGCGGTGCCCACCAGGCGGGAGCCGGGGCTGAGGGCACCGGAGGCCCAGGGGCTGGGGGCGTGCACAAGTAGGGGCCCTCCGCGGCACCCGATCAACCCCCCGGAGGCCGGTGTCCGGTCGGCAGGGAGACAGACAAGCGCAGAGCCGCCGCGGGGACGCCTCACGCCGTACCCACCGCTGCCGGCCGGCTCCTCCGCGCTCCCGGCTCCTGCAGGCGGGGCCCCGAGGGGCGGCGGGCGGCGGGCCGGGGCCTCGGCCGTGTCAGCCCCGCACCCCTACCTAGGGGCCGGCGCCCGCACGGCTGCCGCTCGGGCATCGTCCTAGATACTCGTCCGGTCGGCCCCGTTCAAGCTGCCCTGTGCCTGGCGCCAGGAGGACGCCCAGCAATGGGACCGTCGACGCCGCAGCCGCCCCGCGGGGCCCGGGACGAACCGGCGGCCCCCCCCCCGGCTGGATGCCAGGGATCCGGGAACCGGCGACACCCGCGCCCGGCCCCGCCGCAGCCCGGACCCCCGCGCCAGCCGCCGGGCCCGGCACCCCCGGAAAGACCCGCCCCTTCCGGCGCCGCTCTAGGGGCCCCGCCCCTTCCGGCGCCGCTCTAGGAGGGGCCCGCCCGGCCTCTCGGTGGTACGCCGCGGACGGCTCCGCCCCCCAGCTCACCGCCTCCTTTCCGTTTCTGCCGAGGCCCCGCCCCTCCGCCCCTCGCTCCCCCCATCCTCCACCCCTCCGCACCGCAGGTGCCCCGGCGCCCCCGCCGCGTCCGCCCCGCACCGTCGTGCCGCTCCTCGGAGCCCAGCGACCACCCCACGTGTACTCGTTTCCTGGTTCCCTCCAACTGCGCCGCTCACAACGCTTGGTGATCCCCCGTTCGCGGGCGGCGGGCGTCCAGGCTCGGCTGCCCTCCCGTGGCCGCGCCAGGGCTGCGGTCTCAGCGGGAGGCTCGAGTGTCGCCTCCCCCTGTGGTTGGCAGGAGCCATCTCCTAGGGGCCGCCGAGGGCCTGCTTCTCATTGGCTGTTGGCTGGAGGCTGAGGTGGGCCCTGGCACCCCCCCACCGGGCCCTGCCATGCCGCCCCCTCCGCGGGCACTTCCCAGCGTGGCTGTTCGCGTCTGGGGGGGGGGGGGAGGAGTCTCGTGGAACATAGTGCGAGTGACTGCTCGCGACCTTCCTTATACAACAACATAACCACAGGAGTGACTTCTGGTCACCATCATACAACACGACCCAACTGCAGGAGTGACATCTTGTCTGTCCCACCCCCATACTCTGTGGCTCAGAAGCAAGTCGCAGGTGCCACCCGCACTTGGGGAGGGCAGCAGGCTCTAGACACCACAGCCTCCCAACCTCCACACTCACCCACCCCACCCTGCAATTTTTTCAAAGCACATTGCAGTGTGTGACATACCCTGTCCTCTCCTGGTTAGCAGGTTTCCCAGGCCCAGGCCCAGGCCCACCCGGAGTGTGGGGCAGGTGGCCCTGCAGACCTGCTCAGTGAGGGCGGCCACGCAAATGATTGGTCCCCGCGGGATCAGGGTCGTGTTCACACTGAACTCTAGTCAGTGAAGCCTGCGGCTGCAAAAACACAATGTCCACGCCCTGGTCCCAGAAGGCGCCCTCTGGTTGACACTGGCCACAGGTCACCTGAGCTATTAGGGAGCCCACCCTCCTGCTGCTGGAGGCTCTGCACAAGCTAGGTGGGGGGCAAGTTCTTGAAATAGGGCAGAATGAGGTTCCCACATCCACGGCCGCTTCCTTTCACGAACGCTGTCTCTGTGGCGATTGATGCTGTTTGACAGCATCTCACTCTGGACCGCGGTAAAACGGTCACTTAGAATCATCTTAGAGTCCTTTAAAAAACTTTTTTTGCAGGTTCCCTGTAAGAGCAGGTGAAGCCTGCCCCGGGGCCATGGAGGCCCCCGGTGGCCGCCGGTGGCCGCCGCAGTCGGCGGGCAGGCCCCCGTGCAGCAGGTGCGCTGGTCAGGCCGTCTCTGAAACCCCTGCAGAGCTCCAGCTGCTACCGACGCCACCTCCAGAGGTTCCAAGTGGCGCTGGTATAACTTGAGAGCGCCCCAGATGGTTCTACTGAGCAGCCAGCGTCCAGAACCGCCATCCCGACACAGGCCGGGATGCAAGCAGGGGCTCGGTGACACCTCGGCCGCTGAGCAGGGGGAGACCCAGGAGTGGCGCCTTCGGGTTTCGTATTTTTCCAAGAAACATTGGTCCCTCACCTGGGGGCACGTTCCTCCACTATGAGTCACACCCGTTTACCCAGAAAAGCTAACCCATTTACCCCTCGAGCCTACACTTTAGGACAAGCCGAGTGGGAAGGATGCTCCTTCTCCAATTACACGATCCTCCCCATGTTCATCTGCTGACACGCTTAACATTCATTCATTCATTCATTCACTCACTCATTTATTCATTCATCACTAGGATCCACACCCAGCACGGAGCCCAACCTGGGACCTGAACTCACCACCCTGAGATTAGGACCCGAGATGAGATCAGGAGCCCGATGCTCACCCATCTGCGCCACGTGGGTGCCCCACTGACAGGCTCACAGGGAGGGGCATTTTGAGGGTGTTGGCAGGGTGGCAGCAGGCCAGGGGACGGCCCAAGGGGGCGTTGCCCACTTCCCTCCAGTGGGGACTCCCAGGTCCGGTCAGGCCCGGCCTGGGCCCGGAGGCCTGGTGGCGCCTGTGCGGCTTCCCTTTCTCCGTGACTGTGGGGCTGTGTGACCGTGTGGCCGGCAGCCGTCTGGCACGGAAGGCTTTCCTGCAGCCGTCGTCTCCACGGCTGGCTCGTCAGAGAATGCTCCCAGGTCAGGGTTTCTGGGACTGGGCCCCCCAGGGGTGTCTCCTGCGGCGGGGAGGAGAGCTGAGTCCTGGCATAGGCCAGCCGCGTTCAGTGCTCACCTTGGGCTCTTTCTGGGAGGATGTGGGGTGAGGGGAGCCATGCAGACTTCCCCCCAACCCTCGCCCCCTGTTCTCTGAGACCCTGCAGCCAGCCACCAGCGCCCCACCAGCCCCCCCACAGAGCCCTGTGCAACCTCCCTGGTGCGCCCTCAGGCAGGACATGCATCTGAGCTGGGAGCCTCCCCGGAGCCCCAAAGGCCTGAGTGTCAGGCGACACCGAGCCACACGGGAGGTGGAAGGCTCCAGGTGGGCCCGGGGTCCATCAGCTCCTGCAAACCTGGTGGTCACCAGAGGGCCAGCGTTCAGTAAGCTCCATCCTCAGGGACGTCTTGCTTTGGGATCAACACCTCATCCTTGGTTCTCATAGGGGGAACAAGGACAGGAAATGCACTGTGGCCACCTGCTTCCTGTTTTGGGCGAAAGGAAGTCCTGAGACCACCCCCAGGTGGCGGTGAGGGGGGTGTGTGGACAATGGCAGCTGACCCAAGGGAGCCAGGGGTGGGCCGGAGAGGGGAGGAGTCCCAGCAACCCCTGGGGAGGATGGAGGCTGCAGGGACTGAGTGCCCAGGGAGTGTCTGCGCCCCTTGTTACAGCTGACAGGTCCTGGGCTTGCTCTGGGGGACAGGACTGGATGGGGGCACACAGGGCCCTGAGGTGGCCCCAGGGGTGGTGAGACAGCTTGGGTAGGGGCCCCTCAGCCCAGTGTGCTTGTTTGTCCTCTCCAGGTCAGGGGCCATTGTAGGGGAGCAGAAGGGAGGGGGGTGACCGGATGGACTCAATGCTGGGACGGGCAAGAGTGTGAGAGACTGGACCCCCTGCCCCCTCCCAGGAAGAGCTCCAGGGGTCAGAGCAGGGACCATCACATCACCCCTGGCACTAGAGCACCAGAGCCTGGCTGCCGGTACCTCTGGCGGCCTCCACGGGGATCCTAGAAGATGGGTCCTGCTTTCCTCCGGTTTTGTGGGAAAGGGCACTGAGCCCAGAGAGGCTGCGTGGCTTGCCGAGATCACCCAGCTGGGAAGCGGCCCATTCCGACTTGAGGCCTGGCCAGCATGTGAGCCCCGGGGCTGCACGGGCTCCTTATTGTCTTAGCAGCTCCCAGGAAGATTCTTGACAGCATCCAAGCCGCAGGGCAGAGCCTTGACCCATGCCATCTGCTCCAGAAGTTTCCAGCATTAGGCCCTTAAGGAGCACCCTCGGGGGTTCAAGGACCTGCACGTGTCCTGGGGTGAGGAGCAGGCTCTGGAGGCTCACCAGGTGGGCCAAGGCCCTGCGGCCTCTCCCTGTCCTGTGCTACCAGCCTGTGGTACACAGGTGTCCTTCCTCGTCCACGGACAGGCGGGGCTCCTGGAAGGGGTGCCTTGTGCCCCCAGCTCTCAGTCTAGACAAGAGGACCTGACGCAGGTGCCTGTGGTCACTCACTGCAGCACCAGCACCGGACACACTTTGCCCAGGAGGCCTGTCCAGACCAGGGGCTCTGGCATCTGGAGGACAGACTTCTTTGGGCGTAGCCGCGGGGTCAGGGGTGTGCCGACAGAGGCTGAACATCCTTGCTGCTTTGAGGAGGGAAAGTGCGGGAATCCAGCACCCACGGCTGCCACGACCTTCCTAGGGGGGTGGGGCAGGGCGGGGGTGCAGTGATGCTGATTCCAGGGCAGAGGCGGGGCCTCTGCATGATTCCAGCTTAAACACAAAATTTCCAGGGACACCTGGGTGGCTCAACGGTTGAGCCCTTCCCTTGGGCTCAGGGCGCGTGATCCTGGGGTCCCCAGATTGAATTCCACATCGGGCTCCCTGCATGGAGCCTGCTTCTCCCTCTGCCTATGTCTCTGCCTCTCTATGTCCCTCATTAATAAATAAAATCTTTAAAATAAAAATAAATAAAAATAAAAAATAAAATACATTTTCCAGTTATTTTACCAGTAAAAATGTTTTGTTTTGGTTTGGTTTGTTTTTTTTTTTTTTTTTTTTTTTTCTTCCAGGAATGGCAAAGAACTGCAAGCCAAAGCCAGCAAAACCACAGGCAGGAGTGCCCCGCAAAGGATGAAGTGGAGCGCCGAGGGGCTGCTGTCAACTGAAAGCCCATTGGACTAAACTGGGAGCTGGATGTGTGACGGCTTCTCATTGGCCGAACTGTTGCCAGGGGAGGAGGAAACCTTCCTTCCTCCCGCCCCACGGTGAGGGAGCAGGAACGCAGTAGTGTGGGGAGGACCACTCCATTCCCATCGGATTTGTGGTTTGGATTTGTGGTTGGTGAGGGTGGGAGGGCATGAGAGCTCCCCCTGCCCAAACTCCCGACTTCCCTTTTAGTGAGGTTTCCTTTTATGAATTTTCTCAGTAGGCCTGGGGTGCGGTGGGAAAGACCCCTGTGGGAAAGACCCCGGTAGGAAAGTCCTTCTGGCCGGGAGGGGCCCCCGTGGGGCAAGCACTGGTCTGCAAGCACACGGCAGCACAGCCCCTGCAGCTGGAGCCAGCCCAGTCACCGTAGAGACCACCGACTCTGCGGGGGGGGGGGCACCCTGATAGACAGGTGGACAGTACTGAGGAGGCCAGCAGGAGGCCTCGGCAGGGCCTGGTGCTTGTGAGCTGAATTCCTGTGCCCCGGTCCCCCATCTGTGTGCAGGTCCCCACCTGGGCCAGGCCATCACCACTAGGCCCTATCTCCCCCATCCTGGCAATCACCACCCTAAGCTCAGCTTGGGCCTGACGCCACTCTGTGCACCCTCATGGAGCTCTGTCTCAGGCCCTCCTTAGGGGCTGGATTATGTCCCCCAAATCCATCTGCTGAGTCCTGGTCTCAGAACTTCAGAGGGTGACTGTGCTGCAGGAGGTGATCAAGGTAGAGGAAGTCACTGAGAGCCCTGATCCACGCCCACTGGTGTCCTTACAAGAAGAGACCAGGACGCAGACAAGCACCATGGGATGACCCTGTGAGGCCACGGGGACAAGACGGCATCTACACACTGAGGAGAGAGCCCTCAGGAGGGACCGGTACCGCTGGCACCTTGATCCTAGCCTTCTTCCTCCAGGACTGTGGGATGGGACGTTTCTGTCATGTCATTTCAGCCCCCAGGGTCTGGTGCTCCCGGCAGCCGGAGCTGACTAGTGTACCCCTCAACCCTGAAGTTTCCTTCTTCGGCCTCGGGCAGGGCAGGGTGCCCCCTGACACTCCGGTGACACAGGGCCCCACATGCAGCAGTGCCGTATGCACACCCGGGAGAGGCGTGGTCTGAATCAGTGCCCCTCGGGGGGTCGTGGTCCCCTGGGGCTGCCCCCCACCAGTGCCAGCCTGAGCCTGAGGTTTGGTTGATGGAGGGCAGCTGCAGCCCAGGGTAAGGTCTCGGGCCAGGAGCGGGGTCCCTGGAGGAGCCGACTCTGTGGATTCTGAGAATTCCCGGTCCTGGAAGCCGGGCCCCAGAATACTCAGGGCCTGAGGCGAAGAGCTCCGCGGCCCGGGCTCCCAGGGTCCAGGCTGGGCTGGAGTTTGCCTCCACGGCGGCCACGAAGACCATGTGCTTGCTGAGGAGATGGAGTCCACCAGAGTGTTCCCCTGCCGAGTCCCGGGGGTCCCCCGGTGCTTGGGCTGCTGGGCTCCATGCTCCCAGGACGGGGGTCCTTCTGGGTGCAATTAGACAGGTCTCCCGCTCCTCAGAGCTGATGGCACTGGGGACTGTCCCAGCCCGCAGACTAGGGGAGCCAAGGCGTCCTCTTGGGGGAGCACAGAGCCTGAGGTCCAGGAGGCCCTTGCTGGGGCCCAGACCTCAGGGGCGGGCACGGGCAGGCGGGGTGTGGGGAGGGCGGGTACGGGCGGGGCGGGGGGGGGGGAGGGCGTCATGGGCGGGGCGGGACCATGGGGAGCGTGGGCACAAGTGGGGTGGTGCCACCTGTGTTTCTCCTCTTCCTTCATCTTGCTTCTCCGCGGGAATGTGGAGATGGGCCCGGGCTCCTGGGACTACAGCCTAGGACCCCTTGCCTCCATGTCCCCTGAGCCAGTCCCTGCAGCCACCGACCACCGGCACGTGCCCTGCACGCCCCACAGGCCCGCCTCTCTGGGGAGGCCTATGCACGCTGAGGTCAGTGAGTTAGAGACAACCCGCAGGTGTGGATCAGCCCCATTCCCCAGACTCGTGCGCGCTCCAAGGGAGGGTGAGCGCTGGGGTAACCTTGACAGCCCCAGTGCCCGAGGGGGAGTGCCTTCCGGGGGGGGGGCTGTCACCCTCTGGCTCTGCCACTGTCTCCCCTGCACCCCTGGGACCTGCCTGTGCCAGGCACCCTCCCCATCCCCACCCCCGCCCTGGGGCCCTGCATCCTCAGTGGCATCTTCCTTGGGGGTGTTAGATACCCACGGGTCCCCAGCTGGCCAGAGCTCTGGGGAGGGAGGTGTGGTTAGGGTTGGTCCCACGAGTTGGCCTCAGGCACCGCACCCAGCTCTGCGACAGCCAGCGGTGGGGTGTGGGTGCTGGCGCACCAGGTGGAGGGAAGGGTGCGTGCGAATTGGAGGACTGCCTCTTGGAGACACCCGAGCTCTGGCAACTCTGCCACCACAGGCTGAGGGTGACACAGGGGGGCCATGCCCCGGGGTCAGGGTGGGGGAGCCTGTCCCTCCCCTGGACGGTTTGTCTCCCCTCCCCCACTGGCCCATCGTATATTCAACCTGGAAAATCCCAGTTCTCTAGAAGCTGTATCTAGCAACGGGCAAGGCAAGGGTAGCTGAGGCGCGTCCGGACGGCAGGAGATCTGCTAGGGGCCACCGCGGCTGAGAGCCATGCCTGACTTCGGGCTGTGGCCCCTGTGACCAGGTGAGCCCTTCTGCTGGGCCCTGGGCCTGGGCTTTACCCGCCGTGGGCCCGAGGCCCAGCACACAGCCGGCGCGGCAGGTGTCCAGCGGGAGTCTGCTGTTGGGGGGTGCGGAGTCCGTAATGACTGGCTGACACCCGCATCCTAGTCCCCGCAGACTGGGATGTGTGGGCTCTCGGGCAACGGGACTCTGCAGCTGTGATGCAGATGTGGTCTCTTGGGACGAGAGATTGTCCTGGATTAGGTCACCACAGAGGCCTTCAGGATAGGGGTGGAGGGAGATTTGAGGGAGAAGGGGTGAGGGGTGGGATGGTGGAGGAAGTGCTGGGAGCTGCGGGTCAGGCGGCCAGCAGGGAAGGCCGGAGGCTCTGCTCCCCTAGAGCGAGGTGCACAGCTCCCCAGAGAGGCAGGCCTGTGGGGCGCACAGGGCACGTGCGGGTGGTCGGTGGCCGCAGGGACTGGCTCGGGGGTGTGGAGGCTGTAGCCCCAGGAGCATGGGTACTGGCCCCGCTGGAGCCTGGAGGCCTCAGAAGCAGGAGCCGCGGGGTCTGGGGCAGCAGAGGACGATGTCCAGCTCCAGAGGGTGGAGTTGCCCTTTCCGGCTTTTTGTTCCATTTGGGCCTCAGTGGGTTGGGTGAGGCCCACCCGCGTGGGCAGGGGCTTCCTTTTTACTCAGACTCTAACGTCTTCTGGAAAGCCGTCCCAGACACGCCGAGTCGTGGGCCTCCCTCCACCCAGGGAGGCTGGCGCATGAGGTGGACCCTCATAGGCCCCGAGAGGAACATGGCCCTTCATTTCAGACCTCCAGAGCCCTAGGGAGTGCGCTGGGCCCCTGGGTTCGCGCTCACGGTGATGGCAGTCCTGGGACACGGATGCGGCGACCCAGCAGGACGTGCTCCCAGGCCGGGAGGACGCAGCTGGATGCGAGGCAGTGGCCCCATGACCACCTCCTGACCTGCGGCCGGCAGTTCCTTCCTGGGCCTAAATGTCGTGCCGGGGACAGTGCACTGGGGCCTCGGGCTGGACCTGGCCTGGGATTCAGCTGCGTCCTGGCCCTCGTCTGGCCCCACCCCTGCATCGGGCTTGCTGGGGCGCCACCGCCCTGCCACCTAGCAGACAAGGAGACCCAGCTGGGGCAGTGGAGGCATAGGGAGGTGAAGGGGTTCGTCTGGGTCACGGCGCAGGCGGGCACGGCTCACCCAGGTGGGGGGGGGCGGGGGCGTGGCCTTAACGAACATTTAAACCAGACAGGGTGACCCCCGAGCTGTGCTTTATCTGCTGTGCTTTAGTGGGCACTGTGTGGGTGAGCGTGTGTTGGTGAGTGTGCGCCCTGGCGGAGGGAATACGAGAGTGTAGGTACCTGCAGGAGTGTGTGTGTGACAGTGTGCAAGGAGGCAATGGCAGAGACATGACTGGCTTCAACCCCGCAGCCATTGGTTTCCCTCCCAGGGAAAGGGGTCCCGGGGTAGGCAGTGTGGGGCTCCTGGTCACCAGCGATCTCTGCCCCTTCCTCCATGCTGCCCCACCAGCCTCCTGTGCTGCCTCATGGTGCAAAGTGGCTGTGGAGCCCCAGCCAGCATTCCAGGCAGCAGGAGGGAGGAAGGAGAGGAAAGACACCCTGTCTCCTCCACCACACGGATTTGCCCCCAGCGAGGCCTTGAGCTTTTCATTAATAAGGAAGGAAGAAAGCAGAGAGTGGGAAGCTTCTCCACCTGCTGGAGCTACCTGACTGGCAGGGCAGGCCTCAGGGCTTCCCTCCCCAGGGGCTGCTGAGCTGGTGGGGATCGAGGGGTCCTGTAAGCCTTGTTCAATACTGCTCTGATGGGGAAACTGAGGCCCAGACCCAGGCCTCCTCCCTCCTATCCCAGGGTCCTGTTGGGCACCGGTCAAGGAAGGCCACGAGCCCAGCAGCCAGTGGTGGCCGCCTGGCTAGAGAGGGCGCTGGGCACCCCCACCCCCCGCCCAGTCATCTCAGGAACCCTGGCAACAGTCATGTGGGTGGAGGTGTTTCAGAGGTGGGAGGAGAATGTGGCCGCCTTCCCTGGCATAGGATGCATATTTTCTGCACCCGGGCTATATGGACCTGCCCTGGGAGCCCCCGAGGCCTGGCCCTGGCCCCCCCCCCCCCGCCCTGCCCCCGGCAGTGGTGGGGGGGAGGGGGAGGAGGAGTGGCTGGGAGGCCAGAGGGGCAGGAAATAGGAAATGCCGAGGGGCTGAGCAGAACCAGGGCTGGCAGGATTATGCACGATGCTCCGAGTTTATTCACCACAGCTGGGGTGGGGGCCGGGTGGGTGAAGCACTGGACAGGGTGCTGGCCGTCCAGGGTGTGAGCCAGGCCGCGGTGGGGGTATGGGTGGGGGTGGGTCCCCCTTCAGGACCCCACGGCCTGGAGGCTGGGGAGAAGGCTGAGCAGCAGAGCAGCGACCACCATTGTGGCGTCGCCCTGGGGGCTACCCGCCCCGCGGCCCAGGGAGTCCTGCCAGGGTGGGAGGTTGCAGAGGGCCGACTGGCAGCAGGTCAGGGTCATCAGGGTCCCCTCCAGCGTCTTGGTGATGGGCTTACAGGCGTCCGCACACCACGCCGAGTAAGTGGTCAGAGGGCCCGACTCTGGGAGGGACAGAGTGGGGCGACGAAGGCGCCGTCAGGCTGGACGCAGGGAGCAGGTCCTCCCGGGTGCGCGGCCATCTGGGTGGGGGTGGGGGTGGGGGACAGGCTCCTCCGGCCGCTCACCCGTGTTCCCGTGGGAGATGACGGCTTTGCAGAAGCTGTGGCTGCGGACGCAGTTCTGAATTCGCCCGCAGCTCTCCCCGCTGTGCAGGGACTGGCATGAGTAGCACCGCAGCAGCGCTGGGGGCACGGGGGGTGGCGGGGGGAGGTCAGGCCCAGGCCCTCCTGCTCCCCTCCTCAGGACTGGCCTGTCCCCCCTCCCCTCCCCTCCCAGCCCCTCCCCGCCCTGCCCGCCAGCCCGGAGCCTCGAGGCTGGGGGGGGGTCTCCCGTTCTGGGCCTCCCTGTGCCCCTCTCTGCCCCGGGAACTCCTGCTCAGCCTCCCTGCCCAGAAGCCGCCCCTGCTCCGGGCTCCCTGCTCTGGGTGGCAGCCGAGGGTCACAGCCGGTGTGAGCCGTTAGGGCTCTTCTCTCCTCTCCCCTGCCCCCCCCATCCCCCAAGCCAATGTCACAGGCAGAGGCTCGGTCGGTGTTGCCAAAGAGGGGTGGGCGCCTGAGCCCCGGGGGGGGCACCTTGGCCCCTGCCGCCGGCGTTCACACTGGCCGCCTCCTCCTCCTCCTCCTCCTCCTCCTCCTCGTCGTCGTCGTCGTAGCCGTCCAGCCCAAAGTCCGCGTCGTCGTCCTCCTCCTCCTTGTCCTGCGTCCGCCCTGTGCGGTGCCACACAGGGATGCCCGTAAACCCCCACGGCCGGCCCGGGGCCCAGTGCTGCGTCCCCGCCCAACCTGCCCGACGCCCCCTCCGCCGCCTCCTCCCCACTCTGTCCTCCCCGTGGGCTCCCAGCTGGTGGCCCTGCCAATTCTGCCGGTCACTGGCTGTGGGGGCCTGTCCCTTCCAGCACTTGTCCCCCCCCCGTAAACCCTGCTTGTTTGACAGAAGAGGACACTGAGGGGGGACAGGCAGGGAACCCTGAAGCCTGCCTTTCAAAGAGGTGGGGTCTGGGGACCCACGTCCACCTCCCTCTGGCCTCAGACTCCAGCCTCGCCCCCTTCTCCCCATGCCGCGTCCTGCCCCGAGGCCGGGTGCCCCGAGGCCCCCGCTGGCTGCACCAAGCTGTCCCCTCTCGCCGCAGAGGTGGCCCTGCCCGGTACCTGGCCGCCCGCACAGCAGCAGGGCCAGCAGGACAGCCGGGAGCGCCGTCATCCCGCCGGGCGCTGCGGGGTCTGCGCGCTCTGGCTCTCGCTCAGGCTCTGGATCTGTGGGAAGTGGGACAGAGGCCATCTCAGGGGCTTCCCGGAGGCCCCCCCAGCTCCAGCCTCAAACAATGGGCCTGACACTGACCCCAGTGCCAGGCAGCAGGCCAGGGACGGCCATTTCCCCCCTGACTTCAGGCCCCTGGGGGACAGGAAGCCATCGCCGGGGGCGTCCTGCCCCCCTGCACGCTCGGCCGGCCCGGCATCTGCTGGGGGGGCGCAGCCGGCAAACCTGGCCCGGGGCTGGGCAGCACCGGCCAGCCCCCTGCCCCCTGGACCCGTGGGAACCAGGCCCTGGCTACGTGGTCACCGGACCTTGCCCTCCTGGACCCTCTGGTTGCACATCACTCACCCGTCCCCTGAGACTCAGTCAGCCTCACCCACTGTCCAGGGCTGCATGAGATGAAATGAAAACACAGGGGGTGTCCTACCTGTGCCTCTGCTGTCCCCTGTCCCCTGTCCCCTCACCCCTCACCTTTGCCTGGAGGGCTAGATCCCCATGGCTCATCCCCTCACCTGCTTACACGTCACCTCCCATACTCCTTCCAGCTACCACCCATCCCCTGCCCTGTCCCCCCGACCTTGGGGTGCCCCTGCCTTGGGGAGCTCTCTCCATGCTGCTTGCTGGCTGGAGCAGGTGGTGGAGGGGTGAAGCTGCCTGCGAGCGAGTGCACCCCGGGCCTGCATTCCTGGCGCCTTGGCCCCCGCCAGCTCTCTCTCTGCGGGCACAGGCCTGAAGGGGTCCTGAGAGCCGCTTCCCCCCACTGGGGGCAATGGGAAAGTGGGGCTGGGTTATCGGGGAGCCGCCTGGGGCTTGGTGCCTCAGCGCCTGGCCCTCCCCTGGCTCCCCTGGGGCCACTGTCCCTGTCAGCAGGCGGGTGGACACTCTGTGCGGCCACCTGTAGCAGGGCTGAGGCCAGCTGGGCCTGGGAAGGGCCTGGCTCCTTCCCCCTGAGCCTGGGACTGCCCCCTGGTCCCCTGGGCCTCAGGGTCGGCAGAGGATGTCTCGGCCCTGGGAGCGGTGCCCGTGGGCCTGTAGCACAGCGCCTGCCTCCATCCCTCAGGACACTTCTCTGAAGTCTTGGCCACCCCGAGGTGTTGTCCCTCCTCGAGTCCTCGGGAGCCGAGCCCTCTCGCTGTCCCCAGAGCCACCTCAGTTTCTGGAGGAAGCTGCCCCCAGCCCATCCTCACACCGGGGCCGAGGTCACTCCCCAGCCAGGGTCCCATCTGTTGGGGGTCACGGCTCTGTACCCCCCGTCTTCATTCCTCAAGGGGAGGCTGCGCCCCCTGCCCCTGGGCTGTTCCCAGGAAGGCCCGGGGGGTTCCCCTGCCCCCGGTGTCCTTGGTGCCCCCGGTGCCCCTGCCCCCCAACAGGCCAGCACTTGTGAGGAGCCTGCAGGGATCATAACAATCCCGCATACTTCACTGATTAAAATGAACTGCTGTTGCTGCTCAGCAGCCCGAGGGGGCTGAAGGGGCTGTAGGGTTCAGGTCCAGCTACCCCCCCGCCCCCATTCAGCCCCGCCCCCTGCAGGTGCTCCGGTGCCCCCTGCCCTGTCCAGGGTAGGAGCGGGTCCAGTCCTGCCCATGCAGATGCAGCAGGTGGCCAGGGCTGGTGGCCCATGTGTTTGCACGAGGTCCGTCGAGGCCGGGGGAGCTTGGCCCCCTACCCCACACCCTGATGGCAGATACCTGGCATCCCTGGGACCCCAGGCCCCCAGGTCGGGGTGTGTGTGCGCCCATCCCTCTCCCCACCCAGGCCTCTTCAGACGTTCTGGTCCAAAAACATGTCTGGTAGGGGCCCCTCCCTTATCCCAGGCTTCTGGGGCAAGGGTGCCTCCTGCAGACCCTCAACGCAGGGACTCGGCTCCCAAGACACCCCCAGGGTCAGGGCTCTGGACTGGTGGCCCCACGGGCAGCTGAGGCCCGTGTTAGAGCCCACATGCTGACTGGCCTGGGCCCTGGGCTCAGAGCCCTCATCCCTTAGCCAAGCCCACATCCAGAGGCAGCCCCGGGGACCCAGACCCCTGCCCGCAGAGCCCTGCACAGTGTGGACCTGGCCCTGCCCCTTCTGCCCAGCTTGGCTGGCCTGGCTCTAGGGGGCGGCCTTGTGGATGTTGCTGGTCTGGGGCTCCCCCACACCCCAGGCCTGCTGTCCTCCAGCCGAGAGAAGCCCGCGGGTCACCCTGCTCTCCCTGGCAGCAGCAGCCTTGGCTCAGACCTCAGTGTCACCGTGGGCAGGGCATGCCGGCCGGCCGTACTTGCTCTTGGCCTGGCAGAGGAGATGGGGGGGGCCCCTGCTTTCCTCGGGGGGACGGTGCTGCTCTGTCTCGAGCTCTGAGTCCCTATTCTGTACCTCCTCAGCCTCCCCATGTTGAATCAGACCCAGACCCGGAGAAGTGTGAACAATGTTTCTGACGGAAGAGCAAAGGTCTAGCAGCTGTGTGGACAGGAGGGGCACCTGGCCGACTGCTGTGCACAGGCATGGAGGAATGGGGCTTTGGGGGGCTGTGTGGGCTGCAGCTGCCCGGGGAGGAGCTCCCCACCCTCTCTGCAGCTCATGCTCTCCGTCCCTGGGAGCAGAGGCCAGAGCCTGTCACCCTGGCAGGCAGGGGGCCGTGAGGGTTCTCTCCCGGAGGGTCTCTCTCTCTCTCATCCAGGCAGGCCGCTCCTGGGGTTTGTAAAGGGGCACAAGCCCCCTTCTTCCCGGGAAGCCAGGCCTGAGAAACAAGCAGCTGTGGGGGGCGGCCCAGGGACAGGCCACACCAGGAGCCTGTGAACCGACTCTCCGGGTCTCAGAAGCTCAGCCATCGGTTCCCTCGGGCTTGCAGTCGTTCATTCGGTCAGCTTGTGTCCCCGACCCCCCTGGCACACATCCGCACCCCAGTTGTCTCTAGTCCTCGGCCCCCCTGGGCCCCCCATATCAACCCCGGGACTCCCAGCTCCCCGTTCCCTGCGAGCCCCACGTGGAGGGCCCCGGGGGTCCCTGGTGTCTGGCACCAGCTCTGCAGGGCTGCCCACGGCCCCCAGCAGCTCCTGTCAGCGCTCCCGTTGCCCCACCTTCCCCACTATCCACCTCCGGAACTTTCTATCGTTCCAGACCAATGCTCTGCCCAGGAAACACTAGCTCCCTTCGCAGCCCCGGGCAGCACCGTCTCCCTGCGGTCTCTGAACCTGGTGACTCGCAGCCTCGTGGAAGTGAAACCGGGAATGTGTGTCCTCTTGTCGCTGGCATATCTCGCTCGGCGTCATGCCTTCAGGTGCACCCGGTCGGAGCGTGGGGCAGATTTCCCCTCCTCTTTAACGCTGATAATACTCTATTTGATGGATCCATTGCATTTTGTAGTGGAAGTGCTGGGACCCTGGCTCGCTCTGGCTGTGGTGACTCGCTGTGCGGACCTGACCCGGGACCCCGTCAGGCCCCTGGCTTCGCTTCCTGGGGGGGCAGTCGGGGTGCGGCTGCTGGGGCAGACGGCGAGCTGTGGCTAACTGGTTCCTCTCCTCCCACGTGTAAGCACGCCCGCGGGTCTCGTGAAACTGCACTGAGCACAGGCCTCCGTCAGAGCATCCCACCCACCAGCCGCCCCGCTGCTCCTGGGGTGCTGGAGGGACCCTGGGCACTGCCTCCCCGAGACCTGCTCCCTGCCCCTCACCCTTGCGGAGGGGCTCCTTGGCAGCCCCCAGACACCTGGGGTGCCAGTGCTTTACATTGGGGCTCCCTTGGGAAAATCCACGGTCGGGGGCACATGGAGCATGTTGTTTACGTTGTCTCGGTAGAAATCAATCTCCCTCACGCTGACGTGTTAGAAAAACTGAAAAGAGGGATCCCTGGGTGGCTCAGCGGTTTGGCACCTGCCTTTGGCCCAGAGCCTGATCCTGGAGTCATAGGATCGGGTCCCCGCATGGAGCCTGCTTCTCCCTCTGCCTGTGTCTCTGCTTCTCTCTCTGTGTGTCTCTCATGAATAAATGAATAAAATCTTTAAAAAAAAAAAAAAAGAAAGAAAAACTGAAAAGAATGTGGCAGGGGTTCTCTGCAGCCACATGAAGGCACGAAGAAGCTCTTTGTGTCCTGAGTCAGGAAACTATTACCTGCATACAGCAGGCGCTGAGGAGCACGCGCACGTGCTACTGTTTGGATGAAGGGGGAGGAACAGGAGGCCGTGCAGGACTCCCAGCACCCTGCACCCAGGTCTCCCAGCTGCCGTCTTCCATTCGAGTTACCCCCTGGGCCTGTGCACCGCCTGCAAAGGAAGGAGCGTGTGTGTGTGCAAGCCCTGGGGGCCTGGAAGACAGACTCTGATGACAGAGCTCCAGGTAGGGGTCTGCATGTGGCGGGGGTCACGGAGCCAGGGAAGCCCCAGGCTGAGCACGAGCCCCCTCCCTGGGCTCCGGGCTGGGGCCGGATCGCAGGCCTCGCGGGTTGCCCAGCTCCTCCCAGCAGCAGAGCAGCTGCACTGCCCCCAGGGGGGTGACCGGGCCCGGAGAGGTACCACGTGGATTCATGGCAGCCGTGGTGGCAGGTCTTCACCTGCACAGTGTGCAAATTAATAAAAGGAGCCCCCCCCCGAGAGTGGAGCCTGGAGGCCAGCAGGGGTGCCTCAGCCCTACTTCTCTCCTCAACTGCAGGCCCAGCAGCGAGAGGTGCACCCCACGGGCAGTGAGTGCTGAACCACCCCACACAGGGAGGGGTCCTCCTCCCAAACCCCATGAGAGACTGTCACGGCTCAGCTGATGAGGGGCCACTACGCTTCCTGCCAGCCCACCCCTCTCCCTATGGAAGAGCCTCCCCTGCTTTGTTCTGTGGAGGTACCTCCTGCTGGCCCCTAATAACTGGTGGTTTTATTTTTAAGTGTTAAATACAATTCGATGGAGTAAATGTGAAGATCTCGCTGGCTTGATTAAGCGATGCGTGATTCAGGCACCATCCCATCGTCTAGCAAGTAGAGGGAAGTGGGGAGAAGTTGTGCACGATGGAGGGTTCT